ATCCCAACAGTCCTAACAGTGCACTTCTAGCTCCACTCTAATAGACCAAGTCTTGAAGGTAAGTACAAACACTTTCTGTATCTGACACTTGCATACACTTGTGTCAGGAAAATGGCCTTCTTTCAAGATTTGGTGATGTAATTGACCTGTCTAGTACTGTGATACTTTCCCACTTGAAAAGCTTAACTCTCTGGAGTGTACTATGTCAATACCACCTGCTGCCTCTGCCACAATGGATACAGGGTCCCAGGGCCAAAGAACACATCTGGTACAGCCTATCAGTATGTCAAATGACTTCTATTTCCCAGCAACTCCCAGTCTATTCCTCTTTACAAAGCTGGAGGAAGACTAAGAGAGCTGCCCACCTTCAGCCACTGGCTGACTCCCCTGACCATTTCTGCTGCTGGGAACTGCCCTTAGGTGCCCCTTCCTGGGCAGCCCTGCTCATTGCACCTCTAGAGGCAGCAATTCACGTAAGTCTATGAAATTTGATGGCCAGCTCCTACCTTGGGATGACTTCTGAAGATCATGGAAGGAATATAATTATTTCTAAATAATATATTTTCCCACATCCTCAAGTTTTCAAAACAGACCATTTTGGTTTTCTCAGATGCCTAATTCTAACCCAAAAGTTCACTGTGCATGAGGCCCCTACGCCTGGGCCTGGATCAGTTTTTACAGTCTGCCACAGCTCTCCCTGCTGAGAACACATCTTTTGGGGGCATCTTCAGAAGGCCCACCATCCATGGACATCCTGATACCCCATGGCACAGGGTGCTAGTGGGTATGTGGGTTCTCTGAGAAGCTCTAACATCCACTATGGATGGCAGGGGGGAGGCATGTCATACAAGTTCCACGGCACCCTGAGTTCCCTTTCTGGGCCACCAGAGAGCCATTCTAGAATACAGGCACCAGGATTCAGAACTAGTCTAAGGCATGCAGATTAAAATCACCCATCTTTGGCTCAGGCTAACATAGCTCTATGTTGTCATTGTTATTGTTGTTAAATGCCGTTGCGTCGTAGATGACTCATAGCGACCCTATGAACAAAAGACCTGAACACTTGTATAACTTTGGTCTTTCTCCATGTTCATAAGAGTTTCCAGAGGCAAGCCATTTCGGAAGTGGATGCCACTCCCGCTTCCAAGCTTGACACTACCCATGGTGGACAGTGTTTGGTAAGGTTCCCGATTAAAGCAAGCTTGGAAGCAGGAAGGATATGCCCAAGAACATATTTTGGCTCTTATAAGCTTGTTTTCACTTTTTTCAGCTTTAACATGAACTTGTATATGAGCAACATGTTTCACTGTCAGTCCCTGACCTGGATCTGACTGAGCTTCTCTATTTTCTCTTTCCACAGATGTAGTCTATTTGATTCCTATGTGTTCCACCCAGCAAGGCTCACACGTACAGTTGCTGTTTTATAAAAAGGTACTTGCCATGAATAAAGTCACTGGGAATAAAACTTTCCTGTCACGTGATCTCCAGTTTAATTTCTCTTACCTAGGCATATTTTCCAATCATCAATCCTTTTTTCTTTCCAACTTTTTAATTTCCATCATTAATATTAATTATATTTCAATCAACTTCACGCTGCAGAAATTGATAGAAATCTTCTATTTCTTCTGATTTGGCTCTAGTAAGTGGTGCATAAGTTTGGGTAGTCAGTATTAACAGGTTTTCCTTGTATAAATAATTCCTTACTATTGAGTTGGAACTGACTCATAGCTGGGCTCCACATTAGGTCTCCCACAGGAGAAAACTGCCCATCTTTTTTCCACTTTCTTTGTAGGCATATGGATATTATCTTATCACCAGCAAGAGTATCCTTTAGGATAGAACTTGAAATATTTTTTTATAATGAAGGCAATGCCATTCCTTTTCAATTCCCCATTCCTGCCATGGGATCACATGACTGTATGTTTCAAAATGGCCAATACCATTTCAGCTCCCAGACGCCAAGGATATAGATTTCCGTATTTTCATATCACAGGTGACAACTAACAATTTTCCTAGAATAAATTAAAAAAAAAAAAATATATATATATATATATTTTTATTTGTTTATTTTTCATACATTCTATATTCCATTATAAAAAAAATTGTAGTTGTTTCTCATTTTGAGTCAATGCCACATCAGCAAATAAGGTCCAAGAGCAAATAAAAGTCCTGAAAGCTTTATTACACCTACATTATTAAGGCAGATTCTATTTTCAGGTGCTCTGGTGGCTATAAGGAGTTTTGCTGCCAAATCAAAGGCATGTGGTTCAAATCCACCAGCTTCACTATAGGAAAGAGATAGGTGATCAACTCCTGTGCAAATTACTCTGCTGAGTCTGCTCCAACTCTATGGTACATAACTACTTTGAAAAGACAGCTCTTCCCCAGTCATATTTTAAGTACCTTACAAACTGAGAGTTTCATCTTTCAGCACTATAACAAACAATATTCTGCTATTCATAAAATTTTGCTGGCCACTTATTTCAGAAATAGAACACTAACTCTACTTCTTATTGTATCTTAGCCTAGAAAGGCCACTTGTCTACCATGGCCAAATCTGTTGGTTTTTGATAGGCAGCATCATCCAAACAACATGCAGGCTACCTTTTATCCCCCTAAAAATGAGTAAAAGCAAATCCTAACATTATCTAACATGCTGCATACTTTATTGCTTCTTTGCTGTGTATATAAGCTCCACAGAACAGGGGTCCAGGTTTAGTGCTCAACACAGTACCTGGCACACAGGATAACTGTGAATACTGAAAGCTGTGCCCTGCAAACATGCATCAGTCAACAAAGAACTCTTAGAAAGTCAGAAGTGGTTTGTTGTGATGAGATTTTGCATGAAATGAGTATTAAGGAGGGGGAATGTCTTGAAGACAGAGCTGGAAGAGGGCAACTGAGGCCCACAGTAGAAGAGCTTGCAATGTCAGAGGCTCGTCTGCACTCTGTAGGGGCTCAAAGGGGTTTTCTGAGATATGAGACAAGAGTGTCCTTTATCGAAACAACTCTGGGCACGAATGGAGGGTAGATTCTTAAGGGAGAGACTAATAGCAAAGACATCAAATATATATTTCCAACATCAGACCCTCGAGCTCAGCTGGGGGATCTGAGTATGCAGCACTGAAAGCACTAATGCCGTATGTTGCAAAAAAGGAAGCTGTTTTCAAGGGTCTAAGGTGACCATAGCCCCAGTCCCAAGATGCTCTATGAGAAAAAACTGCCCTGCTCTTCCCCAACCCAGTTCCAGTATGAACCTGTGTCCATGGCCTTCCCCTGCAGGCTCTACACTCTAGACAAGACCATTCTCTTAACAGTCACTGCCATTCTGACTCTTCTGCACTGATTTCAATCAATTGGTTCAAGGCTAGTCAGTCAGTGTGCATATATGAAGCATATACCTTTATCCTCAACACTATGGCTGCTAACTGAAAGGTTAGGGGTTCAAATCTACCAGCCACTCTGAGGGAAAAGATGGGTAGTGTTCTCCCAATCAAGGGTCATTATGAGTGAGAAACAACTTTAAGGCAGTGGGTCTTTAGTACGAAAGATGAGAAAAGAAGCCAGGGCTGGAAGCCTGCCTTCAGTCAGTTTACAAGTTGGAGGGCATAAGTAATAGACAGGAGCAAACATACTCAACGGGTCAAGGGAGAAACGAGAAAGCAATTAATGGTCCCTACATTCAGTGAGGACTGAAGAAATCTTTCAAGAAAAGTATCCTTAATTCAGACTATAAATGTAAAGGAAAGGAGAAACCCATGTGGGCTCGTAACTTAAATCACTCATCAGATGTGTATGTGTAAGGGGTTACGGGTGAGGAACAAGAGCAGAATCAGGCCAGCTGATTTGGGGCAGCTGCCTTGGTCGATAGTGGAAGGTCATATGAACAGAGGCTTGGTGACAGCAGCCAAGTCAAAGGCCTACCAGGGCTAATCTTAACATCCAAGTTTCCGACAGGTTTAAAATAGAGCCAAGGGACAGAAAAGTAACTACTGAAACTCAAACAGACCTGAATAGACAGAACACAAAAAAATGATGACCATGGAGCTCTGGAGTACTGGGAACCTGCCAGAAATATTCCCAAAGTATCTGGTAGGAAGTCTAACATGAATCCAAGTGCCTCTTGGTGGACTTTCACACACCCTTTGGGCAAAGTTGATCCTTTTTACATTTCTTAAATCAATTTCAAATAAGTCAAAATTCAATATAAACTGTTAAAGGCACACAGGAAAATATCTCAGAGTTAAACACAAATAATCAAGTCAAACAAGCTGTAATATTAACCAGGTATGAATAAATAGCAACTGTTTTCAGCACCTTATCAGGAGCACGCACAAAAACACCTTGGCAGAGTCCCCCCTGTAAGAGGAGATCAGACCTAATGAGAGCATTCTGGAGTGGATAGCAGTGAGAATTCAGTTTGCCCTGCAGCAGGAGTAGACTCTGTCCAGGTATATTTCAGAAGAGTCAAAAGAGATGGCCCATTTTTAATAAGCCATTCAATTAGGTATCTTTGCACAAGACAACCTGAAATTGCAGTACAGCTAACTCTCTGTTAACCATGGCAATGAGGATTTTACGAAGGACAGAGGATCAATGGGAAGCAAAACCATCTCATGCTCATTTTATTCTCAGCAAGGCATATGAGGATACACCAAGGACTTTCTGCTTGCCCAGTGTGTTCCTGGTTTAGCAAGTCACACAGTCTGATGTATTATTGCCACCCTTGTCTGGGCAGAGGCTATCTACACTGTTCAGGGTGTGGGAACACCCTAGGCTTTAACCAAATAGACTCCCTATTGTCTCCCTTAGCAAAGTTTCTAGCAGGTGATCATAGGCGGGGAGCATGGTAAGCAACAGGTCCCACAAGGGGAGAATGGAACCCAAAGTCTTCTAGGCCCAGAATGAGGCAGAGAGAGTTGGCTGTACTGGCCCAGCAGGCACACCCCAGGAGTCCGCACAGCATTTTTAGGAATGAGAAAAGCAAATCGCCGTCCCACCTCGGGCTGCACAGTCACAAGTGAGGCAGGGCTGGGACCAGTCCCCATTTGGGTGGGTGGCCAGCCCTGGGTGTGGCAGGAAAGGATGGCGCTGGCTCAGTGGCTGCAGCTCCTCACTCTGACCCAGTGGGGCGCCTGCGCAGTGCTGGGAGCACAGTGAGGTCTCAGGTGCTGTGGGCAGGGACACACACACATATACAGAGAAAGACATGCCATTAGAGTACCCCAGCAGTCTCCACAGGGGATTTCTCCAAAGCCTGTGCCTCACAGGTACCGTCAGCACCCGGACCCGAGTCCTCAAGACTGGGAACTGGCAGCACCACACAGCCTAGGGGAAGAACAGTGGCAGTTGTGACCCAGACCCAGCTTGGCATGAAGACAAGGGCCTGCCCCAATCCCAGTGGCCGTACCAAGAGCTTTCCACTGACCGCTTAGGAAAGGTGATAGATACTACAAGAGCTGCTGCTTAGTATCCTCTGTCTTCGTCAGAATAACAAGGGTTGAAGTCATGTAACAAACAGAGGTGTTCCTCACTCAGGACACAGTGAGACCACTACTCAAAGTGAGCTTTTCTGGGAATAGGAAGTTGAAGGGAGGGTCCTGGAAATAAAGAAAACAATTTCACTTCTTTTTTTTTTTTTTTTTTTTACAATTTCACTTCTTAAAAATCTTCATTCTTTGTTTCAACTCCACCCAGAGAGAAGGAGGAAAACTTCTGAAGATAAAGTTTTATTTTTCCAAGAGGTTTCACAAATGTCACAACCTTTGCTTAAGCAGGAGTTCAAACTGAAAGAGGTGGGATTAGGGGAATACAATAACTAGAAATGAAGGACGAACTTTCTCCACTAACTTGCTCCAGGACTGATGACAACTTAGAATTCCTAAGAGCAGAAATTCTGACTTCTTAATACATACACTGTCTATGTGGCTCATTTCTTCAAAGCCAGAATCATAGTAAAAAGTGAAACTGAAGCCTACCAAAGTAGGGAACATTAGTTAAATGTGGTGTCTGGTAACAGAACCAATGACTAAACACGGTGTAAGATGGGTTCATCACACTGCAAACAATTTTCTCTAAAATACTTTTTTTTCCTGTTGACTTATTCCAGAAACAAAATACTTGGGAATTTGCACCTTAGTACAGCCACGTGATACAATTTCAACACCTTCATGGCCCCACAGGTGGTCAGGGCACAGGGGTAGCTCTGTGAAGATGTATTGGACACCCATTTCCAACCAACAGTCATGAAGCTCAACATGGCTTTTAGAAACAAATCCTCTGAGCCCATGAACTCCCCTTCTGCTTCCTGGAATCTCTTCTGAATGATATAGAGTTAGGCAAAATACAAAAGAAATATGGCATGCAGAAAGAGCACAGACAGTTTCACCAAATGCAGACTCAGCCATGCAAACAACATCTCCAAGAGCTCTTGTGTGCATTCCTGAAAAGGCAGACTTGAGCAAGCTAATAACTTATGGAGGCTTGCAGCTTGTTCCCTTTTCCATTAGACAGAGACAGCTACTTAGGGTGCTGCTGAGGAGAATACGCTGAGCATTCATGAGACCTATACCTCAGGCATCAGAAACCCATTTAATACAAGATTAAAGAAACAAAATTCACAAGAAAAAAAAGCAGTGGTTTTCTCCTAACTCCTACTACATAAAAAAATCCCCAAATGTTCTAGGCTCCTCTTTGCCAATGTCCTGCTTAGGGTGCAAGTCCCTGCCCACATATACAGAATCCAATCCACAGAGTAGCCCAAGGCCTTGAAGACCACCCAGCCAGCTCAGGGAATGGACTGAATGCTCCTTTATCACGTTACCTCCACCTAGACTGAGGGGTGTGCTGTCTAACCTCATAAAGGCCAGTGTGGCCAACACCCTCAGCCCAACAAGGGGTGGGGACTCTGAGTACTCACAACCATGGTAGGAAGCTGGTGAGCCCCCTGCTTTGCCATATTCCTGTTCTGAGTAGCTGGTGGAGAGGTTGGGCTGACTAGAGCCTCGGCCAAAGGTGATCTGGTTGCTGCCCACACCTGTGGCCACCTGGGCCATACGCTCTTTGGTTTTGAGAGCCTGGGCCCTCTCGGCCTTCAGCCTCTCCTCATCTTTCAGGAGGGCCACCAGCTGCTTAGACTTCTCGCGCACATTGATGCCCTGGTCCTTGCCATCTCGGTCAACGTACTGGAAGTCCTTCAAGGTCTGGATGGCAAAGATATTCTCACGGCACTGCTGGGCTACCCGCTCAGAGCCTGTCTTGATCAGGTAGTCCAGCAGAGTGAGTGCCTTGTACACATGCCGCCAGTTCTTGCCATGGTCATTAAGCCGCTTCCACACCATGCTCATGATCTCTGAGAAGGCCACCACATTGTAGGTTAGGTCTGCAATCTCTGTCATCAGGGAGCTGGATGGGCCCCAGGGGTCATTGGAAGTGGCTTCTCGGACTTTTATTTCAGCCTCTGAGTAATTGTTCACAATGTTCTTCATCTGGCGCCTGATAGATGAAGTCGTCATTTTTATTTTCCTTGTTCCAAATTTGAAAACCTTCAAAATATAAAACTTTCCTGTCCTCAGTAAGCTCTCACCCAACAAAAGGCCAGTTTCTGTAATCAGCTTGTACTTAGATCCCCTCAACAGTCACTTCTTTCACTGGAGTCTTGGATGCAGGAAAACTGGATGCCATGACCTGGATAAAGAAGGAAAAAAACACTCCACTGTGATCAGAGTTCCCCACAGCAGGAAAAGACACGGGCTTGGGCAGCTTTGCAGATAGCAGGTGGAGGGGATGGAAGAAATTGCGCATTTCTTTCAAAGCTAAGATCGGTATTAGAACAATGGACAGCATTTAAACTTTTGGAAAAAAGAAGTAATCATATCTTCTATTTTTAAAACTCTGCTACTAGAATTGGGGGGCTCTGCTGGCTTAGTATGTGGAACTGCACTGTCAATGCAAAAGCATGTGGTTCAAATCCACCAGCTGCTTCCCAGGAAAAGGATGGGTAGTCTCTTCCCACACAGTATTCTAGCTGCTCCTCAGGGGAAGGATGGGAAGTCTCCCCTCATGCAACCTAAGTGCCCATTAACAACAAATGGATAGAGAAGCTCTGGTATATTCACACAATGGAATATTATGATGAACTGAAAAACAAGGAACTCATGCAATGTTATTCAAAATGGGTGACCCTGGAAAACATTATGCTGAGTGAAATATCTCAGGCACACAGGGTCAATTACTGCATAGTGCCACTCTTGTAGAATGGGACTGACATCAGGGTTGGGTGAGACTGAGAAAAATTGGTTAAATTACATACAATGCATTGAAACAGATGAGGGAGAGAACAGTTTAAAAGTGATATATGATTGGGTATTATGGTTATGACAAGACTCCAGAATGAAGGTTGAATAGTGGAGGGTTGGGGAGCAGGGGGATATCAATGAAAGAATTTTTCTTTTACTTTTCAAAGAGAAGAGCAAACTGGGAAGGGGGTAAGGGTGGGCAGGGAGAAAAATGCAACAGTGCATGAACGGAAATCCAAAATCTCTGTAAACGTTCATTAAAATTTAAAAAAAAAATCATTCCCTCTGTAAACTTTCACTTGAATCATAATCAAAAGGTTTTTTTAAAAAGTGATGCTTTTAAACAACTATGAGATATCATCTCACTCCAGTCAGAACAGCAAAATTTAACAGAACAGAAAACAACAAATGCTGGCGAGGTTGTGGAGAAACTGGAACCCATATTCACTGTTGGTGGGAGTGTAAAATGGTGCAAATACTGTGGAAGACGGTATGGCGCTTTCTCAAAAAGTTGTAAATAGAGATACCACTTGATCCAGCAATTCCACTACTGGGAATATACCTCAGAGAGACCATAACTGATATCCAAGCAGATATATGCACACCCATGTTTACCGCGGCTTTGTTCACAATAGCAAGGAGTTGGAAACAACCTAAGTGCCCATCAAGAAACAAATGGATAGAGAAGCTGTGTTATATTCACACAGTGGAATACTACGCTGCATTGAAAAACAAGGAACTCATGCAATTTATTCAAAATGGGTGACTCTGGAGGACATTATGCTGAATGAAGTATCTCAGTCACAAAAGGACAAATACTGCATGATGCCAGTGTTGTAAAACAGGACTGACCTAGGGGTTGGGGGGAGACTGAGAAAGATGAGTTCGACAATGTATACTGCATTGAAACAGATGAGGGAGAAAACTGTTTAAAAGGGTTATGTGAATAGGTATTTTTGTCATGACAGGAGTCCATAGAGAAGGCTGTATAGTGGAGTGGACCTGGGGGGGAGGGACTAGAAAATAATGAGAGAATTTTTCTTTTACTTTTCCAAGAGGGTAGTATACTAGGGGGGAGGGCTGGGACGGGAGAAAAGTGCAACAATGAATGAACAGAAATCCAAAGTCTCTGTAAATTTTCACTGAAATAATAATTTTTTTTTAAATGATGCTTTAAATGAGTGAAAATTTAAAAGGAGTTGGTTAGCAATGATTGTGGTTTGCTATAAATATAAATCTCAGGAATTCATCTGTTAACAGGTAAGATTTTTTCTGAAAGTCTTTTGTCCTGTTACAGTGTCACTTAGATCTCTGCCAGGTGGCATTTAATGGTTAATGAAGCAAGTCCACTCTGGCTGGAGACACAGACCATGTGTATTCTGAAGCAGACGGTACACTTGTCTTCCAGACTCTTCCAATCTGAAACCAAACTCTAATCTGTTATTTTTTTCTTCATGGAAAAAAAATTAACAAAAGTGAAAGTCAGTCAGTTTTCTGCTAATCAAGTGCAAACTAATTCAGTTTGACATAGTCATCAGGAAAATGGAAGGAAACTCATTCAATCAGATTAAAAAGTTACACAAAAAGAACAGAAAAGGATATCAGTGCTGGTCCTTATATCCACTCAGTTCTATAAGGAATAAAATAATTGGCTACAAACATATATTTATCTTCATTCAGCAACATGTCCAGGTGCTTACTTCGTGTCTCTATGTTAAATTTTCTAACACAAGTAAAAGGTTATAAAATGGCATTCAGTCATTTTATATTTTGTTCAATAACATTCTTTTTAATACTCACAATGTAATCACCCTTTTCCTACTTCTTCCTTATAATTCTGATTTCCATGGATCCTTGTATACATCTCCATGTCTTCTCTTTCTTTAGTGACACTGTGTTAATCATGCCCACGTTGGACAGTCTTTCCCTTCACCCAGCTTACCTATTTATTTGTATTCCTCTTTCCCTCCCTTTCCATCCTTGGTAACTACCCAAAAATGAATGCAGACCTTGCACTCATAATGGTCTTGTACAATATAAGGGAACTCTGGTGCCATAATCCAAAGGGATATGCACTGTTAATCCAAAAGCACTGTCTCACTGGTGGTTTGAATACACCAGCTGCTGCTCCTCAGAAGAAAGATGAGTAATCTCCTTCTGTGCAATTTACAGCTTCAGAAATCCTTTTGTGACTAAGTCTGTATGATTTTCTTCTTTTTTACTGTCATGAGGTTTATTAATTTTGAGGTTATGTTGTTACTCTTTTAGTCTAAAACTGTTTCCTTTACCTTGAAATCACTGTGATCCCCCCTTCATTTTGAAGCTGTGTAACTATACTTCTTATTCTTCTTTTTACACTGAAATTGTCCTCATTTATGGACTGGTAACTCTGGTTCCTTATTTTTAGCCTCATAAGTTTACTTAACTTTTTTGCATCTCAATGGGTCAATTTCTGAAGGATTTTTTTCCTAGCTCCATAAGGAATGAAGTGAACAGTTTATAAACATAGCTGCACTAATTCAGAGAGTATATTTACTTACCTTCACTTAACCATTGTATTACGTGGAGAATCTTGAAATCATGTTCAGCCCAGGGCTTTTGTTGTACAATTATGTATAAACTTTAGGATTAACCCTAAAATTAAAAATATTTTTTTTAAAAAAACTTTGTGCATAATATGCTTTCCCCCTAATGGAATGAATGCATGCTGAGTATATTTTAAATTAAAATATTTTAAGTTTTTGTGTGATATGATGGCTTTTGATAATTACATAGGGCATATATGTCCTAATAAATTCTGGTGGTAGATTAAGTGAGATGAAGAAAAATCATGGTGTTTTGCAACTTTGTTTGAGTGAGACTTTTGAAGACATAGAGTGACATACAAAGGGAACCTGCACTGGCTACATATTAAAAAAAATATGCACACACACATACACACACGCACATGCATGGCCATATATGTTGTTCAATACCGTCAAGTCAAACTGACTCAAATATGACTCTCTAGGGGTTTTTAGAGGCTATAAATAGCGCAAGAGAAGACTGTCTACCTTTCTCCTGCAGAACAACTAATGAATTTGAACTGTATGCCTCCAAGATAGCAGTACAGCTCCTTACCACCAGGACACCAGAGCTCCCTATATCTGTAGCTATATTTATGTATTTAAAATATGGCTAATGAAAGAAGCCAGACACAAAGGACAAATATATAAAATAAATTGAAGAGGCCAATGCAAACAGTGAAAGCATAGGTTAGAGGTGGCCAGGACCTGTGAACAGTTGGGGAGGGCATCATTGTTTCATGTACAGAGATTCTGTTTGAAGTGATAGAAAATTTTGGAAATGAAAAAAAAAAATAAAAAAATTTTGGAAATGGATAGTGGTGATAGATACTAGGAATGTAATTAGTGACAAGGAACTGTACACATAAAAATGGTTGAAATGGCACGTTTTACATACACACACAAACACACAGTCAAACATATAAAGAACAAGAAAATGAGGAAACTAGAGGGCTACAAGGGCTGTCAAAGACAGAGCAGTGCAGTTGGGATCTGAGCAGAAGCCTGGAAAGCTGGGGCCCCACCCTTAAGTGAAAGCAAGTGTCTCTACCTCCCACCCTCTACCCTCAAATTTGACAGCCCATTCTCTAGTTTTGGTGGGTAGGCAGCATGTCTTTCCTAGGGAAGATTATCTCACCTCAAAAGTGCAGCAAACCCAGCCAAAGTTTGGGATGGTCCTTTCTTGCAAGACTGATGACCATTCCATCAGCAGAAGACAAGCTGAGGAAGAAGCAGTCTGGTTTACCTAAAAACACAATAGGAATTTAAAAGTCACTGGAAAGCTGGGAAACAGACAATGAAAACAGAGCAAATTTATTTCAAGATTAAGGTAATGCCCTTGGAAGCAAGAAGAAGTTCATCAAATGTGCTTTGAGTCTCTGCGGAGCTGACTGGGGGAACTCCTCCTTTAAGATCTTGCGTTGATGGAAGAAGACAAGGCTTTCTGTGGTCCAGCAGCACATTTAGCAGATGGTAGCAAATCCCTGTGTGTCTGCCTTTCTGTGAGCATGTGGCAGGACCACACATGTTGAGAACACGCATTCTGCCATACAAGCCTCTAAGGGCATTTTGAGGAATCGAAAGTTCAAATGCCATTCTCATTGAGCAAGACCAGCTTTCAGAGGACAGCTACAAGCCTAACAGATTGAGTTACACAATCAGTACTGACCGTAATAACCAGGCACAACCAATAAATATTACTGAATCATCAGAAAATCTTGACATTTCAAGTCTAACAATCTAATATTTCTCGAAGGAGGTGACAGAAACCTGCAGGAAGAGGTTCCTCACCTTCTCTATTCACCTCTGCAGCCTATAAGG